TATTCTGAAAAAAGGGGACCAAAATACTATTTCTACACTCCTTAGGCATCTTTTTAGTTTTTAAAGTAGTATTAGAGAGTTTAGTAAGCCCAAAAACTCTTAAATATCTTAAATATTTCTACATTTCAATTGGGATATCATCTGGTTCTGCAGACTTTCCACCCTTTGTTTTCTTTAAAGCCTTCTCAACTTTTTCTTACTAATACAAAGGTAAAAAAGAAACATTTTATTATTATTAAGAATATTAAAATCACAAAGGTCGATCATATTTTTAGAAACTTCATTGAAAAGTTTATCAAAATAACTCACCCACCTATGTTGAATATCTTTCTTTAAGAAAATCACTTTTTAATTTGCTTTTTTAAAACATTTTACTTGAGTTAAATCTTTACTATTATTTTCTCTTTGTTTAGCTAGTTTATACATACATATTTTCACAATCATTAGTATCTAATCTATTATAAAGATCACTAAAAGAAAAATTTTTAGCATCACAGATTGTTCTCTTAGACTCCCTATGAGTTATTTTATATTTTTCTCAGTTCTCTAAGATTTTACATTTAAACCAATTTTAATAACTTAACTTCTTATTTTTTTATCTTTTTCTCCACATTAAAATTCCAACACCAACTATTTTTCTTTATAGAAGCTTTTCATTTGATTATCCAAGTACAACATTTGTCACTTGTTTAATAATGTTTTTTACTTTATCTCACATAAAGTTTACTTCTTCATGAACATCCCAAATCTTGAAATCTTGAAGTTTATTCATAAAAATAATTTTATTTGTCTTTTGGGAGAACCCATCTAACTCTATGATAATGAGTATTCTTTATTTTATAACTCTTCATCTTAACTTCAAGAACTAACAATCGATGTTGAGTACTTAAATTCTCTCTTGGAATAATCTTACAATCTTTACATTCTTGACGATCTCTTCTTATTATAAGAAAATAATCAATTTGTGTTTATTAGATCCATTCTTATAAGTAATAATATGCTCATCTCTTTTCTTGAATAAAGTATTATCAATAACAAAATCACATGCTAAAGTAAAATCTAATATAGTTATACCTTCTTTATTATTCAGTCCAAAACCGTAGCCACCATGAATATTTTTAAAATTTTCTATCACTCTATTGACATGTCCATTTATATCTCCTACAATAAAAATTCTTTCTTCAAGAGGCAACATTTGTATTAATTTTTCTAGGTCATTCTAGAATTTTTCCTTAGAACTTATATCTAAACCTACTTGAGCATTTTTTACTTTATCCCACATAAAGTTTACTTCTTCATGAACATCCCAAATCTTGAAATCTTGAAGTTTATTCATAAAAATAATTTTATTTGTCTTTTGGGAGAACCCATCTAACTCTATGATAATGAGTATTCTTTATTTTATAACTCTTCATCTTAACTTCAAGAACTAACAATCGATGTTGAGTACTTAAATTCTCTCTTGGAATGATCTTACAATCTTTACATTCTTGACGATCTCTTCTTATTATAAGAAAATAATCAATTTGTGTTTATTAGATCCATTCTTATAAGTAATAATATGCTCATCTCTTTTCTTGAATAAAGTATTATCAATAACAAAATCACATGCTAAAGTAAAATCTAATATAGTTATACCTTCTTTATTATTCAGTCCAAAACCGTAGCCACCATGAATATTTTTAAAATTTTCTATCACTCTATTGACATGTCCATTTATATCTCCTACAATAAAAATTCTTTCTTCAAGAGGCAACATTTGTATTAATTTTTCTAGGTCATTCTAGAATTTTTCCTTAGAACTTATATCTAAACCTACTTGAGCATAAAAGCATTATAACGTTAAAAATCTTAGTATCAATAAAAATCATATGGGCTATAATTTTATCTTCAATTCTATTAAATTTTATAACATTATCTTTCAAACTCTTATCTATAATTACACCTACACCATTTCTAGTGTGAATTTTGCCTGAATACCAAAATTTACAACATAATTTATCAATTTCCTTGACATCTTCTCCATTCAACTTGGTTTCTTAAATACATAATATATTTATCTTTCAATGAATCATGATATCAATTAATTCCATTAATTTACTTGTGAGAGTACCTATATTTCAAGACTCTATCCTAATATTAATTTCATGGACTAACTTCTTTACTCACATTGGTCCGTAATGTGAGAATCCTTGCTTATTTTACACTATATCAGGTGTTGATGTAGTGGCCCTTGCACAGTTTTCATTGTACTTAGGTCATACAGTATATCACTTTCAGAGGACGCCCTAACATTTACACAATGATTGATGGAATTCATGTCATGATTTTTCGACAAATTTTACGTTGGTTGTCAACTACCTAGCACAATCCTCCACTTTTCACATATGGAGCTTGTGACACAATGATAGTGTTAAAAACCCAAAATATCAAGAAACAAAAGACGCTCATAAATGCATACTTTTTTACCATATAAAAAATACAACTGTTTAACAATTAAAAAGTAAAATGTAATTTTTTATGCATAACTAAGGTGGCTTGAGTAAATAAATGAAATTTTGGTGTTAAATATGTAAGTACATAGGAATTGAGTGGTATGTTTGCAAATCTTCCTAACCCTAAACAAGAAATGGGTATTTGCACGCATAGCACACATTTTTTATGTATTTACATATCTCACACCTACACTTTAATATTTAGTTACATAGCACTTGACTCTTTAATATCACACCAAAAGTAGAGCTATTATGTATTTACACATATCATACCTTAACTTTCATATATGCACAGACAACATTCAAATTTTTAATATCACACAAAAAATATCAATCTTAAACCCTTTTAAGATTAGTGAAATATACATTTTCATACATAGATTTAAAGCATTCAACTTTAGAGTGGAAGAGGGAGTGCTTCACCTAGAGATAAGATAAAACAAAGGAAGAAAAGTGAGGGTTTTGATGCACGGGCTTGACATAAAAATTATTCCGACTGAATTTTAGCTCGTAAACATTACCGACTGAATTTTGCTGTCAAAACAATCAATTTTAAATGTTTTACGAACCGACTGAAAAATACATATGATTTTTCTATGGGCTCATATAGCCGGCTGATAATCCTATCGGTGTTTTAACCACATATTTAATCCTAACCATTTAGAAGATAAAATGTTGTTTGAAAAAAAATTAGCCGGTAATTTAGTCGGTTGTAACAAGTTCTGTATTAGTCAACCAAACAAATATGACAATAAGTTAATTACTCAATTTTTGTATCTCTTTTAAGAAGCTAGAAATAATGATTTCATGAACTCAATTTGGTTTATGTGATAATTTGGTTCATTAGATCTGCGAAGTGCTCAAATTTTGACTAGCCGCAGATAACATTAATGCCTAAAATCTTTACATATGAGGCGTGGAGTTCATTGCAAAACTTTCCATTTTGTCTTCTTTGACTTCTTCATTACTTGTGCAATTTGTGTGTTTGTATGAGAGAAAGATTTGAATATATTTTAGTAAATACATTTGACTAAAATAATTTAGTGTTAATTTGAGCATATAAACATAGTTTACTAGAAATTGAGCTCTATTATTGTTGAACTTGTTTTGATCATCATAAATCTAGACCCAATTAATATGCAAATTGACTTAATTTTAAAATTGTTTCATAAGAAAAGATTAGATCCAGCTATAATTTAATTGTCACCATCATTATTATATAGTCAAAATTATGGTGCTCAGATTCTCATGTTTTATTATGCAATTTTAATTTCAAAGTCATTTTAAATTCATAAAAATCTTACATAGGATAAATATCACATTTGATTTTGGTTTTTAAATATGATAGGTACCAAAATCAAGATTCTACAATATTTTGTTCTACAAAAGGAGAAAAAGATCAATGGTGGTTAGGCATTATTCATTTGTCTTCTTCATTCAAATGGGTGTAGAGGCAAAGGGTAGAAAGAGAGTAAGAGCTAACAAGGAGATGGAAGGTTTGCAAAATATAGGAATTTCTTTGTTGGGTGATGGACAATGAGCACTAAATTATAGAAGAAATGGCCAAAGTCAATCATACGAGCCTCCAACCACCCCTCATATGTCTAACAATTCAAGTACCACCTCCTTAAGGCCAACTGTGCCAGAGAAGATTCGAACCCCCGACTTGAGGGGTCACACACACACACAAACACACACCATATATGCATTCAAATTCAAATACATATTTTACATTTAAAAAAACTAATAATAATAATATTTTTTATGTAATATTAGATATTTGAGTATTACATAAATACATATTATAACTTGGAAGTTAAAAATATAAATACAAAATATTTATATTTATGGTTGTAATCCTCTACTTTTTTTTTCACTGCATGTTCCAACAACTAATACATTCTACAGTTTTCTAGACATGAGGAAAAAAAAAAAAAAAGAGGTTGGAGGCATCAGCTCGAGAAGGCAGAATTCATGAGCCCAGTATTAACAGGTTTCATATCACAGTTGTCCAGATAAAAACATGAATCTACAAAGAGTGATAGAGCCAGACATTCAACCAACTATAACCTAAATCCCAAATCCAAATAATCGAACAAATCAAAATTTTGTTAAATCAGAAACCAACCCAACCAAAATTTAATTCAATTTAAATGGTCCGATTATGAACAAATCAAAAGTTACTTGAGTAATTAGCGATCAATTATGAACAAACATCAAGAATTACATATTTTATATGTATAATATTAATTTAATTTCATGAACCCTCTATCTCGATTCTAATTTTCAGTTTTTCGGTCTCTAAGATTAAATGAAAATTAAAATCAAATTAATGACCAAAAATCAAATATTGATATTTTAAAAATCAAAACCAAAATATATTTTTGAAATTGAACCGAAATTTAATTTGGATTTTTTCGATTTTGACCAAATAGTGCACACCCCTATTATGAAGGGGTTAATACCTTATACACAACACCTAAGAAAACATTAGATGATTAACCATCAACCAATCAATCACCTAATGATTTGACTTCCTATCTCATTAACATGCAATAAAACATATATCACAAGAGCTAAAATCAAGCGTTAAATATTCAAATATAACCTACAAAACCATATTTAGACAAAAGAACCCATAAAATAGAACCAAAACATCAAACCTGGTTCTCTCGAGTCTCAAGCAGCCTCTAATGGCGGCTTTCTAACTGCTCTAAGCTGCGGCGAGTTCTCAAAGCAATGCAGGAAGCCATAGTGAGGGTACCTCTCATACCAAGTATCCTGCTGCTCATGAGTATCCCAGTGCTCACCAGAGCTGCTCTTCCCATATTTGTGCACCCAACCTGTTGCATTATGCCGCTCTCCCCAAGTCCGGTTCCACCGATCTTGATTTCTTCCTTCCCACCATGTCTCCCCTTGCTTAACGCCGTGCCCGTTACGATCGAAGTGTTCATCCCATTTGTCTCCCCACTTTGTCCACCCATCACCCTCTGATCGTTCAGCCCATTTGTCGGTGTATTTTACGCTACCTCCTTCACCGTCGTATTTCTCGCCCCACCTGTAAAGCAAGGAGACAAATCATTTGTAATTAACCTTTAGGATTTGCTTAAGTTCTATATTGTATTCCTTTCAAATCAGACCCAAGACCTATCCTCACCATAACTTTGGTCGGAATATCATAAACCTAATTTGTTCCACCCATAAGGTCAAGTTATGGATGTATATATGCATATTGCTTTGCCAGAAGTTCAGTAGAAGAAATTTGTTTCCGTTTCAAAATAAATAAATGATTATTGAGGGGAATGAAATCAGTTCTATGTGGTTCCAGATATGACAAAAAAAGGGGCTGATTACAAAATATTTTGATTTATGCAGTAAGGATTCAGGTTTTTATGGATAGAAACTCAGAGTCTGGGAGAAAGAGGAAACTACAATCAACGTCAAAAGTAAAAAATGAAAGATGTATTTCATTTTTAAGAAGTTAGTAATAGTGATATTTTTTATGTGATTTTAAAGATTTTAGTGGTATATGTGTGAATATCAATGTTTAGGTGCTAGATATGTAAATAAATAAGAATTCTGTGGTATGTATGCAAATGCCCACAAAGTTAAGGAAATTTACATACATACCATACAATTCTAATGTATTTGCATATCTAACACCAAAAATTTGTTGTTTACGTTTATAATAGTTTGATGTTATAAGCCTATGCATGAATGATGCATTCCACTTTTGAAAAGTTAATAATAGTCATATTTTTGATGTGAGGCTAAAGATTTGAGTGGTATATAAGCGAATAACAAAGTTCACGTATTAGATATGTGTGTGTGTGTGTGTGTATTGGGAAAACTGAGTCCAAAGGGCAATATGCAAGAGTCGAACCGCCTCATAGAGGGAAACTCCACACTCAATCTCTATGTCGCGGGTGAGCGTGCAAATATATAAAAATTTGTGATATGTATGTAAATGCCCCAAAAACTTAACAATACCTCTCATGCCAAATATGTGCATGGCCCGGCTCTAAGATTGTATTGGGATCAATGCAGCACCATTTGTGCGCCCACTTCTCAGTTTGCCCAGAATCATCGTAATGCTCCCACCATTTTTCTTGCCATTCATCACCCTTGCCATTCTTACCCCATTTGTCTGCACTCTTCTCAAAATGAGTAAGGCCGCTGCTAACGTCCTGCAAAATTGAAATTTTATTTATAATTTTCAGCAGCTTTGATTGCATCATTTCTTTGCAGGTCATTGTAATGTTGTCTAGATAAATACTGCTTAAGGAAAATAAAATGTGATTCTAAAGAAATTAATAATTTTTTTTGATGTAGCTAAGCAAATACTTTTCACCAGAAGTAGCTGCGGCAGTAATATAACTATTGTATTTTCATTATTTGAAGTTTAACTAACAATGAAATGAGCCAATCTTTGCCCAATGATGATGTGTTTTCTCCTTAGATCTTATAAAGGTAATATAAACAAACATTAAATGGGGCATTTATAAGTGCTGAAACAAATAATTTATCTTCAAATATGAGATCTGATGATGGGTTTAGTTTGCAAAAAAACCTCATTAAAAAGTGAATTCACGCTAAGGAATCAAAAATATAATAGAAAACAAGTTAGGTGCTAAGTCCATAATTTTGTCATCTCATTAGCCTTATTAGGTTGATTTTATGATCCTCATTTTCCATACAATCCGATAAAATATTGCCTAAAATGTAAAACCTACTCACAAATTAATTAAAGCAATTTACATCCTTATTTTCTGAGGTCTATTCTCCATCCTTCCTAATCTTTTGGCACTAATTATACATGCCAATCCTATTTTCTATCATAGTATATGTCCAAATCATCAAAATCTATTTTCATCTATCTTATCTTCAATAGCTGTCACTACAATCATCCCGACTAACTTAAACATTTCTTAATTTATCATTCATATCTTTGTCGTGCATCTTACCATTTCAACATGACTTTTCAAAATATTCTCTTAAACACTCTCATTTAATAATTTCTGTAAGTAGAAATTTCATATTTTCTTTATGTCTTCGCCTGCAATTAAAATTATAATATACTCACTTCTAATGAATCTAATTTGATCTAAGTTTCTAAATCTCTATCACCTTAGCTATTTTATATAGCTTGTTGTCTCATTTGTTAGTACCACGGCTATCCATAGATTATCAAAGGTTTTGACGCTGATTTTGTGCAATACCCACTTGGCAAGGCCCTTGGCTTTCTTGTAAACATGATAAGTGTTTCTCCAAGTAAAAGTTAATTTTATCATTGTTTATAAGCACATTATTTTCCTTAAAAATTTTATCTCCTACCTCCGCCATCAATTCCATGTAAATGTATTAAGCTGTCCTGAAACATTTTTAACAAGCTTTCTTATGAAGCTAGCTATCCACATCAAGTTTGGTTCAACTAAATAAGTCTATTTTTCCTTTCTTATTAACCTATCATGAAAAGATAATAATTTCTTGCCCTTCAAATTCTATTAATTTTTCCTAAAACAATTATTTATTTTGATCATTTTATTTTAGTCCTACAATATGTAATCAAACAATCATTTCATGGTTTATTCTGCACTTTCAAAAACTTTGATAAAAACACCTTACAATCTTTGCCAATATACATAGATTGTAAGGTTGTAAGTCCCCTCAGCTCACAGGTTCGATTTTCCGGTGTGTAGGGTGTGGTACTCGAATATTTAGCACACCCAGGGATGACACGGGCTCGTCCAACAGCCTCCGGCCAGATATATATATATCCTTCTATGTTAAAAAAAGAGTTATTTGTGATTTTTTAGCTCTACTTGAGAAATCAAATAAGTGCTCTTTATATTTTTCAATATATGTGTTCTTTATTACAAAAGCATAACTACAAAATCAGATATAGCCCCTTATGCATTTCTATCTCCCATTTCATTCCCAGCATAAATCCTTAAATTGTCTATCCTACCAGAACATATATGTCATCATCCCCAACAAATATCCCTTCTTATTTTGATGTGTTATAACATAGCTCATCCAACCCTTTCAAATTTAATTTTTTATGCTATCTTCTATTGAACATAAAAATAGCTCTAGTGGTGGTCACAAAAAAAGATAATTCATTACAACCTTAACATGTACAGATAAGATGAATCTAATCATTTTCATTATCAAGGACTGCAAGAAAATAAAAAATTGATTGTACTGATTCTTTTGAAGCACGAATTGTTAGAAAATTTAAATGCATACACCTCAATTCTTATTGCAAATCTAATATCTAAACTTTATTTTTTACCTCTATTCCACCTTACCTATGTATAAAACGATGTATGTCACATTTTAAAATTTAAAAAGTGGTATTTTTTATGTGATATGAAAGCTTGGAATGTTCTAGATGTAAAAAGTAAAATTTAGGTGTTAGATACGTAAATATGGAAGAATTCAGTGGTATGTACGTAAATGCCCCTAAATTATTTCATGGAAGAATGATGAATTAACACCTGGCGCATAAATTCTCTCCAATATTCACGCCAAACATTTCCATTAGCATCACGTCCAGATTTCTCCGAGCCAAGCTCCTTATACTCAAATTGATCAGAGGCCTCCCAATATTTGTCCTCCCATTCAACTGTTCCATCTGCGCTAACTCCCCGATTCAGTGTCCACCTGTAAACCAGTCCATCTTCCCTTTGATCCACACCTGAATCCCTCCACCACATGGAACCATCAAGATTTACTCCATGTGTTGCTCCTTCATTGGTCTTCTGAAGGGCTTCTGCAGCCTCAGCCGCATGTCCTGAAAAGACCACCTCAAGATTCTCTTGATTGGCTTCCATGGAGAGGTCTGTGGAAGATTCAGTCTCTTCCTTTTCAGTCTCCACAATTGATTGAAGAGGTGGAAGAAGAGGTACGTGAAGAGTTTCGCGTAACTTGCTCTCGAGAGGAAGCGGCAAGATATCGGCGGACTGTTCGATTTCGATGACTGAATAGGATGCATTTGGAGAAGGATTTAATTGTTTAGCTGGCTGTAAGCTTGTGGCATTATCACTCAGTTGGCTATTGTCAGCCATTGGGGGAGACCATGACCAAAAATCTGGACCTGGAGTTCCATACCCAGAAGTTCCTGTTTCATTAAAAAATGCAAAAATGAATTCATGCCAAATAAAGGTTTAGGTGTGGAATGGAGCTCAACCAAGAAGTATGGTTGCTTTTAAAAACACTCTAAATTTTTTTTCGAGTGTTTTTATTTATTTTTAGAAAATAAAAATAAAAACATATAAAAAACACACAACACAAACATATTTTTAAAAACAAAAGAAAAAAAAAAGAAAAAAGAAAAAAAAAAGCAAAAAATAAAACAAGCCCTTAGACTATTTGTCATTTTGTCTTTTTATAATGTGACTCATTTACAAGCTAGAAAGTTTAAACCCTTTTCTGTACGAGCAAATATTACTTTTATTTTTCTATTTTTAGAGGTTAGAATTATTGGTATGTCATAATTCATCTTTCCTTCCTTTATCATGGGGAGTTATGACTAAATTTATTATTTTCTTAATATGGTAGTCATTTCCCTCTATTTATCTTGTAATCATTTTCTATGAAACTAAAGAAGAATAATTATTTTTTCCCTTAAGAAAACTACATGATATCGAAATCATTCGCCTTAAAATGACTCCTCCCGGCTTATGAAAGAGTCACGATTAGAACTCGTTGGGAATAAAATAAATTGATCACGGGAAGAATGACCGGATTGCGGTAGACCCCTCGCGATACAGTCGTGATTAAAGCCCACTGGGAAGGCAATGACTAGATCAAGGCGTTCAAAGACTCACACAACGTTTCTTCTCTGTTCTCTAGCGTTGAAACTGCATAGGTCAAGCTCTAGGCCTCAGGCTTCTTTCCTGCAAGGACTTTCTCCTCCACCTCTGATTCTTTCTCTCTTTTGTCGTGCTATGTTATTCAGCGGCGGGCTTCTAAGCATTGCACTTCTTCTCTATTGGTTTATTCTTGGTCTTTGGCGCCATTGGAATAAGCAATTTGAAAGAAAGATCACTTATTTCTATTCCTCCTATAATTTTCACAAAGCAGGTTTTCGTTCCTAAGAACTGTAGATCGGAGAATCAAACTGAATCGGAAGTAGCCCATCAAATACTTACTTTTTTTTAACAAAGTCGACTTGAATTTTCGGACTCGTCCTCTTCTCTCCTCTGATGATATCATACAAGTCTCCAATGATCGATGGCCAAAGAAATTCTATTGTTTCTACTAATTCCAAAACCAATTTGCCCTACCTATTGTGGTGCGAGCATTGCAAAAACTATGGCATATGAAGGAGACATGTTGGAAGCTTCATGATAAACTAATAAATTGGAAACCAAAATCTAAATGTGAAGGTCATTTCTATAAAGCCAATGTTGCTAAACTCAAGGCCTTAAACCAGCACAAATGCAACATCTTTCACCAAAGAGCAATTAGAACACATTTACAAGTTGCATTAATCTCCAAAATTATCACCGACTCTGTGTTGCTCTTCAGTACAGAAGATAACTCTCTAGTCACTGCATTGTTAGATGTTAACTTTAATTTTATTCAGTCCAAGATAACTGATTATGGCACGATTGATCATATGTTGGTTATTCAAAATTATCCTCATCTTATAGAGCTTGTGCAGTCAATAAAATGGTCAAAATTGCAGGGATATGAACTATCAAACTCATATCGTTATTAACCTTCCGTGCTTCATGCTCTCAATTTGTTTTGTAATTTATTGTTCACTAACAAAGCTACTTCAGATTATCAGTGTCAAGTTAATTTATGTTCTTCTTATTGTGAGTTTCAGATTTTGACCACTAGGAGAACAATTGACGATACTAAGAAAAATGATAGACTATAATTTAGACGAATGATTTGATGTGAATAAATGATGTCAAAGTACATTTTTAAATTCTGATTTATTTCAAAAAAAAATGGTATTATGTTATTGCATTATAAGTTAGGTCATCATAATTTTTAATATTTAAAATTATCGTTTCACACTTTATTTCAAAATAAAAATTTATCAGCTTTCCAATGTGAAGTCTCTCAAATTGTCCAATATCATTGCACAAGTTCCTCCCAAAAATTTATAAACCAAATACACATTTTACTCTGATTCATAGTGATATATGAGGTCCTTGTAAACATTTTACACACTAGAAAAAATATTTTGTTACCTTCACTGATGATCACATGGTTAAATTGGTTGGTATTTAATTAAAGAAAATTTTGAATGTAGAAACAATTTTCAAAAACTTTTACACCATAGTACAGACACAATTTTAAATAACTATTTAGAAATTATGAAGCGATAATGGTCGGGAGTGTTTCAAAAATATTGTGTCATGACTTAGCCCGAAGCTTAGAATTAAGTAAGATGGAAATTATGGTCGAATGATATTAACATTATTTTACTTTTCACGTACTCTTCATAAATAACTAAAATATAAAAGAGCCACTAATATCCACAAAGTACAATTAATTTAAAACATCTAGAAACAACAACAATAATCTAAACACAGCATCTCAAAACAATATTGATTATCTATCATTCTCTAAAAAAATCAGTGCATAAAGAAACTACAAACATATCATAAATTAGTACATAACAGCTGCAGTCCTCCTCCTGTAAATGAAGTGTCTCTTATCAGACATATCAACCAAAAGTTTTTCTTTTTCTAAAAGAAACCATTAATTGAAATAACAAATTTAAATTAGAAACCATTAAATTATTATGTTAATATTATGCATGAATGACCAAAAGAAAATACAATTCATTACTTTATGAAACTTTAAATTTATTTCTTCCCGTATCAGTTTAAATATTTATCATTTTTAACTACTTTAAGAGATATAACAGAATTACAATCATACCCGAAAGTATCCTCAAAAATATATCTGAAGATACCCTCAATAACTTGTACTCATAGGTATCCTTAAAATTGCACCCGAAGATATACATTTACCATTTCCTTTAGCGCACACGGGTACATCTAATCTCATGTTAGTACCATCTGGTGTTAATCCAATATGACTGAAGACTTTTACTTAACATTTTGTATGAATTAAAATAATTTAAAAATATACTTTCATATGTTAGTTTGTTTTCCCCCATTTGTTATACTATTTCAGATTTTTAAGATATGAGACATGAATGAAATACTTATTTTAAACTAATGAATAAAGAAAATATTCATTTAATAAAATATTAATTTAAAAGAAAATAATTACTCACCTTATCCTTTTCTTTTGTTCTCCCCGCCAAAAACGATCTTAAGCCTTAATTCTTTCAATAAATTCCTTTAATCATTGATTCAGTTCAAAATATTATTATTAACACCAAACTATTAATTAAAATAAATCTTTAACTGGTAACATAAAACTTGTTCTTTTTTATCGTGTATGAAACTAATAATTGTTGTCTCCAAATCTTACAAATTAAGATTTCTTCAATTAAAGGGTCTTATTATAAATTAATTGAAGCTAACATTAATACTTATAGCATTTATTTAAATTAAACAAATATGAAATTAAGGCGCACAGGAATCAGCTCCCTTCTCTTTGCACAAAGACCTTCCACCTATAATGCCTGTTTTAAATTCATAAACTATAATTGTTAATATTATCACCCACTTAATTAATAAAATTTATATACATTAAAATTAAACTAAATCAAATAACTCACTTACCCACACACACAGAGACAATATACACATAAATTTCTTTAACTTAATTAAAAACTTAAGATTTACCTTTTAAACCCTTCGGTACTTCCTTCAATCCAACACCGCATGAGCTCATCTTCCTCTAGCTGCGAGTTTGACTCCCTCGTACACAAGAAGATCCTTGGACCTTGGCTCTCCTTACCATCTTCATCCTGCACGGGAGCACCGCAGATCACATTCTTCTCCCTCTTCTCCTTCGCACATCTCGAAAACCCTAACGCACTCAGAGCTCCCTTTCGGGACTTCTTCTTCCTCCTTGTGATCGCGGATCACCCGGCACTGCAAGCCTTAAACACTACTTAGTATGTAGCAATGCAGGAAGTCGTCATTTCCTTCATTCGGTTGAAGGTTTACTTCGCCCTCCTTCAACTTCTCCTTCTTCCTCCCTCTCCTTCGCAAAATACCTGTGCATGAAGCCTTGACTTCCTTCCACACGCACGACAGAGGTTTCCCTCTCTCGCTCTCTATGCCCTCCCTCTCGTTCTCTCATCCATTTTAAATGAAGGGAAGCGCAAAAAATGAGTTAAAATTCTTGTGAGGCGATACGACTCATCTAACCGCTGACACCTTTTTTATATTTTTATATTTTTATTATTATTAAATTTTTATTTTAGTTATTACATTTTGGGTCAATTGTTTTCCGAAAAAAAAAGTTCATCAAAGCTCTTGCGGTTGAAAGAAAAATAATATGGCTAAAAGAAAAGACACTTATTGGCAATCATTCGAACATTGTTATTTACGAATCAAGTGTCAAATATCTTTGGGTTGAAACCGTTCTTATTGTTACATTTATCATTAATAGAACATCCGATAAATTTTTGAACATTGAAACACCTTTTGATATTTTTCATAAACTTTATCCAAAAAATTGGCTTTCATCATATTTACTTTTATGATATTTGGATGTACCACATAAACTAACATTCATAGTCATAATAAAAGAAAACTTGAACCCTAAGTCATAAAACGTGTGTTTGTTCGTTATGCTCACACACAAAATGGATATAAATATTTTGACCATATTTAAAAAAAAATGTTTATATCAATGGATGTGACCTTTTTTGAATTACAACGTTTTTCAACTCATCTTCAATGAAAGGAGAGATAAAACAAAAATTCAACTACTATTTTTTTAAAATTTTCTTAAAATCGAAGAGTCACAAAATAATATCTCCTCAACATTAATTTTTCAACATGAAAATTCAAACTATATTATACCAGGAGAAAGTGGGTCAAATTTTTAAGATATTGAAGACAATTCAAAATTTCCTACAATATAATCTCATTATGGTTATAATCTTATAACAGCTAACAAAGAAGAAACATGAAAAAAAACTACGACATTGGTACTATTTGACATTGACTTCTCGTGACAAAGAATAGTTCAAACAAAACAGTCTATGAATCCTTTCCATTGCCTAAAATCCATGAATCCTCTAGGTAATGTCCTCCCTGAGATTTTATCCCATGATCAGTCAACTTCATCTTCAAGCTCTAAGTCTTCTAGTCTTGAACCCAAGTCTCACCCTAATCCTAAATCTAATGATTCTAGTCATCTCATTACTATTTGTAAGGGGGTGAGGGCTTGCACACAACATCCATTATCTCATTATCTGTCACACGAAAATCTTTTACCCATTTTTAGGGCTTTTTACCACAATTGTTTTGTATGATTCCTAATACTGCGCAGAATACTTTGAAAGTTCCAAAGGGAAAAGAGACTGTGTACGTGAAGATGGAAAACTCTTTAAAAAAATAGCACATGGGAATTGGTTGATCTATCTAGAGGGAAGAAAGCTATCTAATACAAATGGGTGTTTACAGCCAAATATAATTAAAATGACTCTCTAAAACGATAAAATTTCGTCTAGTTGTTAAGAGATCACTTCGACCTATGATATTGATTACTTAGGGGCATTCGCCTCAGTCGCAAAATTAAACTCTATAAGAGTTCTTCTGTTACTTATAGCTAATCTTGGCTAGCCACTACAACAATTGGATATAAAAAATACATTTCTCGATAGACACTTAGAGTAAGAAGTGTACATAGATGCACCTCTAGGATTTAGTGAGAACTTCAACACGAAAGAGTATAAATTTAAAAAGTCTTTATATGGGTAGAAGTAGTCACTGAAAGCATGATTTAAAAAAATTATACTATTTGTTAAAGATTAGGGGTATGCTCAAGAGCAAAAGATCATACAATATTCTTCAGACATTCAAAGGATGGGAAAATAGTCTATTAATTGTGCATGTGGGATATAATTCTCATCAAAGATAAAAAATATAAAAAGAATCAATTGACGACTTCCCTCTCATCAATTTTTGTGACCAGGGATTAAAGATGTATGAGGTATTTCCTTAGCATGGATGTTGTTAGATCAAATAAAAGGAATTGTTGTTTTCCAACGGAAGTATACTCTTGATCTTCTAAATGAAACAAGGATGAATGGTTGTAGGCCTACAGACACTTTAATTTATCGCAATCAGAAACTTCGAGATGATAAAGGAGACGACCTAGTGAATACATATCAAAAATTGATATAAAAGTTGATATACTTATCACATACACAACCATAAATTGTCTTTCTATAAGTTTGGTAAGTTAATTTATGCTTTTACCAACTAAGAAATACTTTAAAGAAGTTAACAAAATTCTTAGATACCTAACAAGTACATCAGGTAAGTACTTTTTTAGAAGATCATACAACATAACATAGAAGCATACACTAATGTATATTGGGCGGGCTCAATTGTTGACAAGAAATCAATATTTGGATGTTGTACTAAGTCTAGGAAAATTTGGCTACATTGCGAAGTAAGAGATAGAATGTGATGGCAAGGAATAGTGTTGAAGTAAAACATTGAGCTTAATTGGCAGAAAATTGAGGGCTTTAAGATGACAATTGATTAACATAATCAAACTTCACATAATGATAATTTTTCAATTTAAGCAAAACATAGTACAAGAGTTAGAATGAAAGAATTAGAAAAAGTACGACTTGAAGTGCCACTCCAGTCTCCCCTCCTCCCGCTAAGAAAAGTGAAGAACGCCAAAAATTACAGAGATATTATCTCAAAATCTCCCTACAACTTTTCTCACACTCACCCTCAACCTCAGAGTCCTCTCAGACCTCACACACTCTCAAAGAGTTTTCCGATCTTTGCACCACATGGAGAGCACCACTTTGCCTTTGAAAACCTTCTTTTGTAACCACGGAATGCTAAGAGGACAACAAATCACTCTAACTCTTTATGTCGGTTGGTTGGCATCGAAGTTCCTCCTTGGAGTGTCTGATTCCTTGCCGTCCTATTGTTTCTTATCTGGTAACGCTCCAAGTTGCTCACAGATGGTGCAAGGATGTTGTTTGCTCGGGTTGCTCTGCTTGACACGCATAAGGGAGGAAGCTTTGTTTCTTGTGTGGCACCCTGGTGCCTCATAAAGTAGATGGCGCCTTGGTGTTGCCTCCACGGGTTGGAGTGGCGTGAAAATCCGAGGTGAAGCACCTATGTGCCATCTTTGAAATGAAATTAGGGTGCCTCCCTGTGTTAACTCTTATGCATGATTAATGCATCATTAAGCACTCATTAATACCTAGAACATGTAATTACACACACAAATAACTGCAAAAGCACAAATAGGATACAAATAATAAAACAATGCAGAAAAATATAGAAAACAATTCACAAATTTTACACACATCAATCTTCCAGAGTGACCTTCTGGTCAGGCTCTGGCAATTACATCCGCGGCTACATGATTAGGATTTAGAGTTGATGGTGGAAGGTGGAAGGTGTGTACCGGTGATACATGGTTAAAAAGAAAATTTTTGGGTGGAGGTAAGCTCGGGCAGTGGTGGATGCTAGGAACACTAGGATAGAACTAAGGTTAAACTAGCTCTGATACCAAATTATACCAGAATTAACCCAACTTAACAATAAAAAAGCAAATATTATTACTAAAAAACAAATAAGCGATTAAAACTAAATATAAAAAATTTAGATAACAATAACATGACACAAACACCACTTGGAATGTATCCCAAAGGGTTGGCAAGCGGCTATGCAAAACAGATAGGTGCTTTGTGGCTATGGTAGGTTGGAGGAGGGGTGAAGGTTGTGGTCGGTAGGCAAGAAAAATGGGCTATTGTAGATTGCAGAAGGGAAGTTCTGGTTGGACAACACGTATGACATGCAGCTGGAAGATCTAGAAGGAGATGGGAAGTTGGTGACTAGACTGCGGGGAAGGGAAAAGGGTTGTGGTTGAACTACAATTGGGGAAGAGGTAGGGAGACATGAGACTGGCAGGTAGGGTAACAGAGGAGATTTGCGGTTGAAATGGAAGGAGAGAGTTTGAGACTGTAGGAGACAGCAAGACAGTTGTCTTTGGTGAAATGGATGGCTACAACGGTGATGGCGACAACGACAACAGTAGAGGTAAGGTTGCGGCGGATCGAGAGAATCGAGGATAGTCAGAACCTCGGATAAGATATAAGCTGAGCACCAACCATATTCAAATAAAACACTAGAAGGTAAAATCAGGACTCTTAAGTCTACCCTGACAGAAAAACCAATCAAAACATGATGTAAATACAACAAATAACATATATATAATACTAGGGTAACGTGGGAGGGGGGGGGGGGGGGGGGGGTGCTCT